CTACCATTATCACCACTATCATTACCACCACTACCATTATCACCACTATCATTACCACCATTACCACTACCTCTACAAAATTATTCGTACATTACAAAAGTACAACAACAACAACAACAACAACAACAACAACAACAACAACAAAAAAGAATGAGTTTCAGAGTACTCTTAATAATTTTTACTAATATTTTTTGTTTTACATTCGCAGTGTCTACTGTACCGGCCCTTGGCGTAACCGGCCGTGGCACGAGAACTATGGTTGGAAAGCAAAATAAATGAAGACAAGACAAGACAAGACCGAAATCAAATTTTAAAGCACTTGTCATTGCTAAGGCACCACCGCAAGTACAGCAGTGGCGCAGCTCAACAGGGTCGAACTGAACTCATGTGAAAACAACACCGAAATCATCCTTATTCGACGACAATGTATAATGTAAAAGAAAATACAATGAAGAATGTGAGATGAATCAGATTTCTAAATTTATGTAAATTCGTTTGGAATTCAAAGTAATAATCGGTGTTTTTGAAAATATTATAACATGCAAGGTGTTAATTAGATAAGCTTGGAGACTTGGCGAAAATTAAACTTAACGTGAAAAGAATATTCCTGTGGGGGAGGGGAGGGAGGGAAGAAAATTGTCTAAGCGTCTTGTTTTTATTAGAAAATACGAGCAAGATTAGAAGAATAAAGGAAAGGAAAGTATGCTTAATTTCGGATGAATATCATACAAAACTTGTAGCATTGTATTTTGAGATCTGTAAAGATTTCAAAACGATGCGTAATATCTAATAAGCGAGTCTATCCCTTCCCCACCCCCACCCCCTCGTTGAATATTTCGTTGAGTATCATACAAAAATTGTAATGATAAAAGGGTAAATTATACACCGTGAAAAGATGAAAAAACTTACTGACGTTTCTTTCTCTTTTGCTCCGACGAAGGAACAGCGTTCGAAACGTCAGTAAGTTTTTTCATCTTTTCACGGTGTATAATTTACCCTTTTATCATTACCGTTTCATTAGAAACACCGACGCAGCTCACACTAGTTTTTAGCTAGTTATCTCTTCTTACAAAAATTGTAGCATCGTATTTTGAGATCTGTCAGAAGATTTCAAAATGCTGCGTAATATATAATAAGCGAGTCTATCCCTTCCCAACCGCCACCCCCTATTTACATTTTTGATATAATGACCCAGTATGATAAAGAAAAGCAGTTGAGCGATTTAAAAACTGAAAAAGTTTAGGAATGGATATGTAGCTTGAACAAAATGCTGTTTGAAAAATAGTCTTACTGATTTAAATTACGCAAACGGCGCGAGTGAGAAAATGTAAACTTATCTTTTATCAAACTTTACCTATAATTTATTTTATTCGTTTTCTCCTGGCCAAAGAAGTTTTGATAGATTGCGTCTAAGATTACGGGCGAAAAAAAAGATAGTTATTCGTTTGCGGACTTGTTCGTGACTTCGACAAACGTTAAAGTAAAACTAAATGTCAACTGGAGGTTCATCAGCGTTGTTCAATAGCGTCTCAATAAACCAACCAAAGTAACTTAAAAATAATAACCTTTTTTGGTATTGTTGGGCTAATTGTTTTCTTCGAACGAGTCAAAAGGGGAAAAAGTTGTTTAGGGAGATGAAGGAAACGATAACAAAACGATAAAGACAACAAACAAATACTCAAAAACTCACCTTTTTATAAATATTACACGATTGGCGGGCTTTTGCTGTCTGGAAGCTTTACAACACAAAATAAACCAGCTTTGTCGAGTTTTAAAGATACGAAACCACAGTAAATGAAGGTATTACAAGAAGAGGTTAGTTGTTGTCTAAACTTTCTTGTAGGCTGGCTTGTAAGTTATCCTTTTATGTGAACTCATAAAGCATCGTATAGAAACTGAAGTTCTTAAGATTAACAGAACAAGTAAACACAGTAAAGCAATGAATGCTTTGAATATTCAATCAAACCATTCCATCCATGACGTTTTGTTAGTATTGGGATTAAGTACGACTATCTGACGTAAGGAACGACCAGCTATGATTTCTTTTACCAACCTGTCAGTATGACCCATGAAAAAATTGGCATTCAATTTGCAACGAATTCAGGAGCTTTCCATGACTTCTGTCTGTTTTTATAGCGTATTTTTAAAGCCTGTTTTTCAGTTTATTCTCTGGCTAGCGGATCTCAAAGTTATTAATCGCTTTTGACAAAAATTAAATACCTTGACAACGATACCCCAACAACGCAGATAATTACTTCAAACCTCTCTCAGCGACTTCAACTCCGTTTGCTTATGGAGAGGAAGCGCAACCAAAAGAAACCAAGTTTTTATTCTCTCAAAATCTTGATTATTTCTTCAGATGTGAAGAAAACCTATAGATAATGACTATAAAAAACGGTCTAAAACATATTGAAAAAAATTAAGAAATAATAAACTAGAAAACAATGAATACGAAAAAAGGAAAAAGAAAAGAAACGTCAGTTACCACAAGTGACACTTACATGGCTTCCTTATTTCAGCGCTGTGATTGGATGATAAATGTTTCTCTAACCTTTTAGAGGCTTTCTTCGACGCGCGCAATTTCGTCGTGTTTCACGTATATTTGAATTTATCTTCAAAAAAGCTCGACAATCATTTTTACAGCCTCGATTACCACCAAACCGCACTTTTTCCAATAGCGCAGTGTTTTGCTTACCAATATATACTCTAACATATGTCACGGCTAGTCTTTAAAAACGCGTCCCCCAAAGACTATGGATGTTTAGGCACCAGTGACGCAAACTTTAAATCGGGTATGCTGGTCATAGCAAGGGGTTAATCATCTACGGTCTAGGGGTCGACTAACCTCTCCCTTAGGATTCGGCCGAGCTTCCTGATCAGTCTGTAAATCCAAGGATAGCGGTGTCGGGGTCGAAATCTCCGGCGTAGCCGTAAATGCTTCGCGCTGCCATACGACGGTTCAGCTCTCGATGTCTGGAAGTATGGTCCTTAATGAATCAATCCATAAGAAACAATCGATAATCTCGGCAAAAAATTAACTTCAAAACTTAACCTCAGGCGATTGAGTAAGACACCCCATCCGTCATTGGTTAATCGAATATTCTGATGTAAAATCTGCGAGTTAGCCGTCCCCTGCTTTGTTTCAGGGTTCGATCTGTGGGTTAGCCGTGCCCTGAATTTTATCAGCCCAGTATCGATTAAAGAGTGTTTTGATCTGAGTAAAAGATTTTAGCGTCTTGTTTTTAAAAGTATTTTCCCCACAGGAATAAGATTCTCGATATGAATAATTCATGCAGTCCTTATTTCTGTTACGCAATTTATTTCAAGCGATGATTTATGTAGTTCATGTAATTTTCGTTTTCAATGTATCATCTTTTAAACTAAAATAGTGACAATACAAATTGCACAAATTAGTAGGTTGAGTAGATCTCAGTAAACCGTAGGCCTACAAAACTTTGAACTAATTTGTACAATTTTGTTAGTTAACTTTTTCACGAATACATTAGCCTGCGGCCCTCTCCCCTCCCCCCCTAGAGCCGAGCTACGCAGGCTACGAATACATCGCATGCACTCTAATGACGTTAGTTAGCTGGTCAAACTAGGATTTCGTCATGTGACGAAAACTGGGCTTGGACAATGTAGATGTGTGTGCTAAAAATGTTTCCAAAACAACTATATTTTTATCTCTGGAAAAGAAACCAAGACTGGTATCCATAAGCACCAAAACGAGGTTAGTACCCTAAAAAAGTTGAGCATATTGCTTGCGTGATGCAGATATTCTAGAGGCATACAGGAAAATATCAGATATCCAAGGACTCCTAAATTTTCTAACTTACGCGCTGATTTATTGGTCGAAATTTAGTATTACTTTAACGAATCAGATTCTATTTTCACTGGTAACGAAGTAAAGGTAACCCAACCGCATAAGCATCGATGTTATTTCGAGCTTTTTTCACTTCGAAAAAGTACTTTCCAGTCCCTTACTAACACAGGAACCCCACGACCAGCGGTTAGTTGCAGAATCGTCTAGAACTGAGAAGGTCGTGTTGGTGAACTTGAAGCAGTAAAGTGAGGCATTCCAACCATGTTACTATTCCTGCTTGGTTCACGTAAATCTCTGTTGCTACTACTTTGAGCAATCCAGTGCCCTTCAATAGAGTCTTCGTTTTTAGGACTGGAAGGCTTGCTTTCTGCAGCACTTGGTTCTGTACTCAATTTTGGTGGGCTTCCTGTGGGATCCTGAGGTGGTTCTGACTTGGGAGTTAGTGGGTTACGGGTTACCTGTGCATACACGGCCATGGCCTTCAAAATAAAGGTACGACAGCATTAATAAAGAATGGAGAACAAAAGAGCATTTCTAAATTTGCGCAATTCAGATAGCAACTTGGATCTTGTCAGTCTCAGCCCCAGACTCCTGTCGTCGTTACTGTGCATGCTCAAAAAAATGCCAGGTAAACTTTGTGAAGAATTTGTGCACAGTAAAAATGACAGGGCTCTGGGGTAGATAGTAGGGTTTGATGTGCCATGTCCGAGAGGTGAGATCAGATGCTCAGCAAGGCCTACTGCTTGTGCCCAGGAGCCCAAGATCGAAAGAATTTAGAAGTTGATTTTTGAGGAGGGAGGAAAACCGGAGAACCTAGAGAAAAACCCTTGAAGCACAGGAGAAAACCAATAAACAACTCTACCCACATACGAAACCAAGCACGGCGGGGCTCGAACTTGGGTTGCACATTAGCAGTGCACGCCAACCATGCTTCCCGTCCACACACATTTCATTTTGAAGAAAGAAATAAGAAAATATACGAAGACTTGATGGTTACCTGAGCTACCATAGATGAAGCATCACCCACGTTAGCTGGTAGTACAACTGTATTGGTACTTTTGGCTAGATTACTGAAGGCTGATACGTACAGCTCTGCGACATTGAGACCTGCTGCTTTCTCTCCACGCTGAAAAAAATGACAATGCAACAAATGCAGATGTGTAGGCAAATCACACAGTCTGAGTAAAGGATTCTGATTATGACACTTTTTATCTTTTCAGTTTGAATAAATAAAATAAAATAAAATAAAAAGTTTGACCAACTCATTATGGTGCATTAGGGTCACACTTGGGTAGAAATACCACACTATTCAATGATGATGTTGATGAGCAAAAGGTGTTTACACCCAAGCTAGACCAAGATGCACTATGCCAGCTATCTCAGAACAGGCCATGTTTCCATCAATTCCCATTCAATTTATTCAATTTCCATTCAATTTATTTCACTGGGGTTGCCAAGGCAACAGGGTTGCCAAGGCAACAGGGTTGCCAAGGCAACAGGGTTGCCAAGGCAACAGGGTTGCCAAGGCAACAGGGTTGCCATGACATCATTCATACCTGGGCAGCCAGAGCATCAGCTACTTTATTAATACCAGTTGCTCTTGCCTTTGCTTTTGCTATTATAGCTTCTGCCTCACCTGTTATAAACAAGGGCAAAAAAACATGAGCACTTGAGGCGAGGGGTAGGGATGTGGAGCTCAAGAACCACTGCTCTACTTCATTCTAAAAACTGCTTTAAGCCCCGTTTACACTGGCGATTTTTGCGGCAATTTTTGCTGCGATTTTTTGGCAATTTCCGGAAATATGAAATCTTTTGTCTAATCCTTCAAAAGAGACAATTGTCTAGGAAAATCTTGGTATCCTGAAAAAAGCTTTACAAGTAAATTCTTTACCATCATTTATTATGGACAAAATTGCAAAAAGATTGCAGTAAAAATCACTAGTGTAAACGGGGATTTATTGAGTAAAGTGTATTACCAACGGCTTTGTTTATCTGCTCCATTTTAGTAGCCTCTGATGCTAAAATCTGACTCTGTTTCTTTCCTTCTGCAACATTGATGGCAGACTCTCTTTCTCCTATTTGACAAAAATATGCATTGTGGATTACCTATTGAACCTGATGACAAAGGTAGCCCACAAAGATTGGAAAACAGGTGCTGGGATGCCTGTGGTATATCAACACAGGACACCCAATATTCAAGAACTGACCTTCAGACTTCAATATGGCAGCACGCTTTTTTCTCTCAGCTTCAACCTAGAAATTTGAGAAAATGTAATTCAATAAATGTATAATAATATTTGAGCTAATATTAATATGAAAGTCATACCTGCATTTGCATGGCCTCAACCACTGTTTTTGGCAATGTAATGTCACCTGAAATAAGTGTAAAATATCCATAAATAAATTATGATGTAGCACTGTTACCTCTTGATAAAGAAAGATAAACAATGTCATGGAAAAGATGTCTTACGGATTTCATATCTAAGGCATTTGATTCCCCATACTTCAGCAGCAAAATTTATTGCCTCTGGTGAAGAAAAAGAAAGAAAGATAAGAATTTGAATAAAAGAACAATAGCATATTGTTTGTTTGCACCCATGTGACTCAAAATCTCTTGAGATACAATGAAACACCCACCATCTCGTTTGATCTAACAAGTGAAGCTTAATGAGGAATGCTTTGTATAGTCAACCAACATGGCGGCTATGGCATAACATGCACCCCAAGAATGGGAATAAAAAACACAGGTCAAGTTGAGACTAAAACTAAGGCTAGACACACAGAGCAAGATTGTATGCAATGTTGCATGCAATTGATGTTGTGAGCCATGACACACGATGCAATTTGTTGCACACAACATTAATGCTGAAGTACTGTAGAAAACTATCCTATTTCAGCAACATTGCCTGCAATGTTGCGCACAATGTTGCACTGTGTGTCTGTGCGTTTAGTATAACATACCCACAATGTTGTGATTCAAGGTTTCTCTCTCTTGGAACACTTTATCGAGACTTATTTGACCTTGGGAATAAGAATAACATGAATTAATCAGAAATAAAAATTGATTCCTATTATCTATACCCTCTCCCCCCCCCCTCCCCCCAAGGTATCAAGTGGCTTATTTGGGAATATAACCCACCTTGCTCCCCTCCCTTACCTAAATTGGTACACTATGGTACATTACAGGTTTAGATACACCCATTAAAAATGGTTGTCGGATCCAAAGGCAATAGCCAATAGGTGATAAGTGATTCCAAGATCCAGGAATAGCTGAAATGGCTTGTGTTTTTTAGTTTTTGTCAAGAATACAGTAGCTAGTATTGAGATATCCAGTATTGTTTGTTCGTATTCTATGAAAATGGCCTAGATTATTTGAGTTTAGTCAATGCCCATAATTACTAATTAGGATTTGGAATGATCTATCATCACCTATCTCTTTTGGTCCCAACAACCTTTTTTGAATTAGGTGTATCCAAGTTTAGTTCTACCTAGTTCAGATCTCATTGTTGTTTGAGCTAACTGAGTCACAGCAAACTCTGGATCTTCAACTCCATATGAAGCCTATGAAAAAAAATAATAAAGAATGAATTAATGAATGCATGAATGGATGAATGAATGAATGAAGGAAGGAAGGAAGAAAGGAATGAACAAACGAATGAATACAAAAAAAAAAKATTCTTATTCAAAGTTATGAGAGAAAAAAAGGGAATTGAAATTTAGGGCATTAAGGGTAGATGTTTTTAGTAAGGTTATCAAAAGTCTGAGGAAAACAAAATAGAAATCATGACCGTGGAGGAATTTGCAAATGCTGATACAGAATCATCCTGATTTGCATAAATTTTAAACTTGGATTTTCTCTGTTAGATTCACTCTTATTTCAAAAATTTTATACAACACAAAAGAACTAGCCTGAGACATTTGATAAGTAACATACAATATTTGCGTCAGATTTGTATGGGCTTTACAATTGTCTCCAGCAGGTGATTGTAAATGCCCATACAGATCAGCTGCTCATATTGTATATATTACAGTTAAAAGGTAGGGAGTTATGGGAGGCTATGTCAACTACTCTCAGTGGTTGTATTATCCTTGCTCAATGTCTCTAAATCTCATATGTGGCTTTAAAAACTCAGCTCTGCCAACTTTTTTCTACATTATCAAACTCATTAATAATTCATGAGAAAACACAACAGAAATCACGACCGTGAAGAGTGTTGTAAATCTGATACAAAACTGTGTTCATTTGCATAAACTCTAAGTTGGATTTTCTTGGCCGAATTCACTTTAATTTTGAAAATTTTAGTGAAACACAAAGGAACTAACCTAGACGTTTGATAAGTCATATACAGTATTCGTGTCCGTGTTGTATCAGATATACAATCACTCGGCTACGCCTCATGGTTGTATATCGGATACAACACGGCCACTCATACTGTATATATTACTTATTGTATACCTACCTTGTATGGATCAACAACTCTCAAATATAAAACACCATCAAGATGCAGTGTGACATTGTCTGAAAAACAAATCACTCCTTTAGAATAGACTACTCTGCTACTTCGTAATGATGTATCAAGTTGTTATTCCAAAGTAATAAGGAGGATAATGGGGTGTGGGATAGTGAGTCTGGAATAAGAGGTTTTACTCACGGCAGCAAATATGCACTGTAAGGTCATCACTACATTTGAACTTAAGACAGGTAAATCAAAAGTGACATGAGACAAGGATGAAAAGTTCACAACTAATAATAATAGAGAACATACATCAGTAGACCTTATTCATTTGGGTCTAATATTTTCCAATTTTAGCAGAATTCAGACCATGTCTTACATGTATCCATATTCACTTGTCCTCTGTGTGCAGCCGTTAAACAAAGAAATGATACTCTTGGAAATGACATAAAAACATTGCACCATGACCAATATTGTCTATTTAAATATCTTACCAAGAGTAATGGCTGACTGGGATGGAATTTCAATCGCTGCCTCTTTTAAACTTTGAACATATTTGATTTCATCAATAATAGGAATAAGAATAGCTAAACCCTGAAAAAGGAAACATTGTTTAATAGAAGAAAATCCAATTGCATATATAAAATTAATAAAAACTAGTTTATGTAAACATTTTGAATGAGGCATGCAAAAAATCATTGGGCTATTGCATTTATTATATGTCCCCCCCCCCATGTTGAGGACCCAAGTTTTTATGAACCCCCTAAAAAAATCCTGGACATGAAGATCCCTGTGGACCCCTGAAGAATTCCAAGGTCCTCAACGGGGGTGGGGGTGGGGGTGGGGATGGGGGGAATCCAGATAATAAATGCAATAGCCCATGAGGGATGCACGTAAGTCAATAAAACTGCTTACAGGAGTTAGCGTTCTGTGGAATTTTCCAAATCTTTCCACAATCCAGGCTTCTTGTTGTGGGACAAATTTAACGACCTACAAAAGGAATAAATGATATATAATTTAAATATGAAACTGAACAAAATAGTCTTACTTAAAGAAGAGTTTAATACGTTCGTACAGTATTATGAGGTAATGGTTTTTTTCTTCTGTAACCTCCACCAAATCCATAACTCGCCATGCATCTAGTAAAAACCATCTGAGACTGCCATCTTCCAATCTATAACAAGAAATACAACTATGTTTTAGACTTCAAATAAGGTAATAAGTCTAACTTTCTCAACAAACATGGAACGATAAAAGTTGTGCACAACATAATCGTATATTTTTTTGGATGATSCATGACTCACTTGTGATAAGGATGTCCGTCTTAACAGTGATAAAGGCATCATCTTCAGTTATTAAGAGATATTACTATTTTTTTTGCAATAATTCTATTTTATCACATGCAATTTTTGCTTCCAATTTCCTCTCTGAGAATGCGATTTGTCGTACAGCGGTAATACAATGAATGTACGCGCACGAGTCTATCACCAGGGTGTATACCGCAAGCCAATATTTCTTGTGCGCGCGGGCTTGTATTTTTCTTTGCACGTGTTTTTCTGAAACTTTAAAACTGGACCCCAAAACATGACGAAAATTGAGAATATTTTTCTCGAATAGCGTAGTTACAGGGTGTTTTGAGGGAAGAGGGATTCATTATGGCTTCAGAGAGTGTTTTGTCTTATTACTGGGAGCTTGCGTCGCCAAACGAAGGCACAAGAATCAAAGCAGCTGATGGACTTGTGAAGACGTTGGTTGAATCTCAGGGACAGTATGTTAAAGAGGTACGATGCTCTCTTTATAGGCGTTTSAAAAGAACATATATGTTAGTAAAAGGCTGTTATTATTAATAATTAACGGTGTTATTCGTTAAAGAAGTAGAAATTTATCATCTCTTTATAGTTA